GTTCAGTGTGTTCCAAATTTGCTCATTCGATCCATGCATGAATCCAGTGGGGATCAATGTCAGGATGCCATGCTGCTATGGTTAGAAGAACATGGCTGCCGCTTGGAAAGTGACATTATCAGAGTTCGTGAACAAGAAAATATCAGTGGCATCAGCCTTTTTCTGAAGTTTCCTCCCTTTTATGTTCAGTAGCAGTGATAAAGGGTGTTCAGGTAAGTAAAAATGCCAGTGCTACATGGGCTAGTTTAATACCTTTTTTTAGTAAATCAGGACGGTTGTAAGGTTTTAAATTTTACACCACACTTTTTCATTGCTGTTATTAGAGAAACTATACGTATGTTTAAGTTCTGAAAAGCTTCTCTGCCCTATAGATGGGTGACCCTTTTCATCCTGTCATTTCTATATATGCTTTTCCACCATGGTTATTTGCAAGATCTGCAATAAGTTCCATTTTCATCATTATTTTCTTTCTTAGAGTACTTATTGAGTTCTTTCCTACTCCAGATTTGTGTGTCTGCTGTCTTTGTTCCAGAATTCACCTCCCTTCACCTTCAAGACAACTTTGAGAGGAATGTTTTTGCTTATTCAATCTGCATGTCTCTCCTTCCTAAAGGTTGTGTAATCAATGGAGTGACCTTCAATTCCTGCTAACTTTATTGGAGACACTGGCTCATTTGTTATGATGCTATAGTATCCGATTTTTATGGAGAGGCATTGATAGGAAAGGTAATATTGGCACAATTAATATTCATCATGTGTTGGAAAAATTAATGAAAACTTTCTGTGAGGGGAAGGGAATGCTGATATTTCAATAAAAACTTTCATGTGTTGGAAAAATTAATTTCCACCAGTGAAGAACTCCATCTTTCTTATCCTTCTCGTGACATTTTGGTTGCCTAAGGTTTTATCAAAATTAGAACTTGCAATGTCTCATCTTCCCAATTATCTTGTAATCACCAGACCGCTGTAATATTCATCATTTACTAACATGTTAATTAATAGGGAAATTTCATCTCTGGAACTAAGGCTGTTAATATCACTCTTTTTATATCCTTGTAGTTCCCTCTCTTGCGCTTTAGTGAGAAGAATTTGTTTATGAGAGATGGGAATATCTACCAGCTTTCTCAGGTTCGGCTGAAGGCTATTTAACGTTTGTCCCTGGCTGGTAATCTGCATTATATTTTACATGTTTAAGTGGTGATATAACTACCAAAATAATTAATAAATCTTGTTACACCCTTAGAAAATTATGTAATGATGCATTTATGACGTGCATGGATGAGAGATTTTATCTGCTTTTACTAATCGATGTTCTGATCTGGATCGGTATTGCTTTTACTGGCCAGTCCCCCTGGGTTTGAATTCTGGCTTGAATGTATAATGATGTAATGATGCATATTTATCATGCATGGGCGAGAGATTTGATCTGCATTTACTAATTGATGATCTTATCTGGATTGGTATTACTTTTTCTGGTCAGTCCTGGTTTTGAATTTTGGCTTGGATCTCTTTTCTCTTTTTTTTTTGGCGCAAGAATCTTATTATGAATGCATTAGCCATTAGCATTTGGCCTCAAAAAAGGAGGAGGATCTCCGACTACTTGACCTTTCTAATCATCTCATTCTCTTTTCATTTAGGTTGGTAGACCGTAATGTGACCCATTTGAAGTTCAGCTGGCAAGCTTCCCCCTACAGCTGTTGGATTATGTTTTCTGGTAGCCTTTTGCATGGCTCTCCAGAAGCCCATAAAGGAACTGATAATGAACATCTCTGTTAATCAGTAGGAGAAGACTTTTCTGAGCTTGACTTTCTGTTTACGTTTTTCCTTGATTCCCAGATTGCTTGTCTTAAATCATATGCAAAATGATACCTTGCTTCTGTATTTGAATAGTTGTGGCGTTTGAATGCCTTAAATAAATCGTAGTACTCAATTGTATTCAATTGTGACTGAATTATAAACATGAATGAGTAGACAATGAACAATTATTATTTCCTATTTAAAGTTTAAGTTGTGTAATTTAGACGGTATAATATTTCTCTATTATCATATAGCTTTTCTTGTAGAAGATTAATTTACTTTCTAACCCTCTGGAAAAATTATAGTCAAAATCACTTAAATTATGCACATTCGAACCCTAATCCATACATTAGCTAAGCTATAAGCGTGGTACCTCCGGCATGAACAAGTAATTTAAAGACATTTAAAGGGCATTCCCGTCCAAATGCAACAAACGTTTAGGGGGTATTTGGGTTGGGAAAACTTTTCCCAAAAGTTTTTTTTTAACTTTTTTTTTTCTATAAGTTATTTATGTGTTTTTTTATATTAATATTATAATAAAAATAATAACAATAATATTTTTAATATTTACTTTTTTTATACAATTCTTATCTCGTGAACCTTTTTTTTTCATAATTTTTGAAGGAATAAAACTTTTTTTTAAACCTTTTTCATATAACATTCACTTAAATAACTTTTTTACTAATTTTTCTTAAACTAAGTTTTCATCAAATACAAAAAAAAAAAAAATAACATATCAATAAAATTTTAACAAAATTTTATTATAAAATTTATTAACTTCTCATGTAGTATTTATCAGCTTCCAATATATTACCTTTTTAATAACTTTTCTCAATATATTTTTTTAAAATAAAATGTTCTTGCAACCAAACACGCCTTAAGGCACAAAATTCAGACGAAGAATTATAAAATGGCAGCAGAACAGATATGGACACCTTCGTTAAGAAGCTTCTGTCTCTGAAAGTCAGGTGTGAAATGTATAGCCACATGTAAAACTCTCCGTGTCCATGTGATTTTGTTCATTGATTCTACTTTTTGTAAAAGAAGTCTGTTCACATCCCATTCCTCTAGATAAAAACTCTAGAAACCAAAAGTTTCAGTAAGAAATTCCATTCCAAGATCTAGTGCCAGATTTCCTTCCTTACTAGGTTAGATTTTCATTTCCCCCAGGGTTTCCTTGTTCAGAGATGTTCTTTGCTGCCCCTTGAATGCTCTGAAATTTCTTTTCTTTTCTCCAATTTTCTGCCTTCTTCGTTGATCAGATCTATGTGTGTTTGTTAGGGTTTGTTTTTGTTCAAAGTTGTTAGCTTTGTTGCTGGGTATTTAGGGTTTTGTTTGTTCCTTCTCTTATCTCAATTTTCAGCGTCATTACTGGTTGGGGTTTGTTTTGTATAATTCTGCTATGGATAAGGATAAATCTACAAACCACGGTGGAGGCTTACCACCTCCCTCAGGTCGTTTCTCGGGTTTTTCTTCGAGCGGGAATCCGAGCACTTTCAATGTGAAAACTGAGCCGGCTTCATTGGCAGTCTGTTTTCCAATGGCGGGTTCTAGTTCTGAAGCTGGACATTTCTCCCACGGGGCGGATTCTAAAAGGTTAAGCCATGATATTAGCAAAATGCCCGACAACCCACCCAAGAATATCGGTCATCGCCGTGCTCATTCCGAAATACTCACTCTGCCGGATGATATTAGCTTTGATAGTGAGCTTGGGGTCTAGAATTTTCATCTTCTGCAGCTATTAAAGGTGCATTTGTCGTATTTTACATGGATCCCTCTGATTTGGACACCGTGATTTGTGTGACTGCTACATGATCATAGTTCAAGGTAATGTATTATTTATCTGAAGCAACATTTCTTGTGAAATATAAACTAACATTTTTTTGGGAGGGAGTGGGGGCAGATCATTGGGTACAGGGTAAAAGAACATGAAGAACAAACTAACAATTTTTTTGGAGTTTTTGTTCAGGTGCAAAAAATGTCATCAATGCTTGCCGAGAATGCAAAGTTAGACGACTTGTGTATAACAGTTCTGCAGATGTTGTCTTTGATGGTTCACAGGATATACATAATGGTGATGAATCTTTAACATGCCCTTGGAAAGTATGCTTCTCAACACTGCAATCTTAACTGTAACTGTATCTAATTTCCTCTCTTTTATTATTGACATGGTCATGACTCTTGATACAGTTTCAGGATAAGATGATTGACCTTAAAGCTCAAGCAGAAGCATCGATTGTGTTTGCCAACAATATTGATTGTCTTTTAACATGTGCACTTCGTCCTAGTAATGTCTTTGGTCGTGGCAATGCACAGCTTGTATCTCTCTTAGTAAATTTTGCAAAATGCGGTTTGGCAAAGGTTTGACAACTTTAACAATTTATTGATCTTCTTTTTCTTTTTCTGTTTCTTTTTCTTTTTTTTTTTTCCAAGGCAACATTCTATTTTGGGAACTTCCTTTAGTTATACAATCAGTATTAATGTTAATTCATTCTAACACAATAATATTCCAATAGTAACTAAAACTGATATGAACTTGTGTTCCTTAAGAACAACTTCCTGTGGTTCCATGTTCATTTTAAATCCCTGTTTTTTGTTTTGGTTTTTTTATTCATTTTATTAAGTTTTGTTGTTTTGCCTTGTTTGGATTTATTCTGTACTGGTTTCTATATTTAGAGCATGGATATTCTTGTCTGACCTTTTCCAAGTAATGGGTTTTTCATTTCAGTTCATTATAGGAAGTGGTGAAAATATGTCTGACTTCACCTTTTCTGAGAATGTTGCCCATGCTCATATCTGTGCAGCAGAAGCTCTAGATTCCTGGTTAGTCTCTGTGGCTGGATAGGTATGCTTCCTTTGGAATATTGTTTTGGGTAAAGGACTAGTGGATATATTAATTGTAAATTAATCCATCCATAAGTCAGATGTTCTCTTCTAATCAACTTGTAGGTCTTTTTCATCACAAATCTTGAACCTATGCTGTTCTGGGAATTTGTGTCTCTCATACTTGAAGGCTTGGGATTTCAAAGGTACAGCACAGAGGTTTTCATCAGTACTTTGTTTATCATGTGATAATGAGTTGCACAGGCTTATGTGCATTTCACATATGAAATATCCTGATTGAGGAGTAGTTTAAGTATTATCTTCTTCATTAAAGTATGGTTGAGACAAAGTTTCAACTTCCAAGAAAAGCAATGGTATGCAACTGCCCTTCTTCACCCAGAAGGGTAGATGATGGGCCAGTCATGATAACACTGAAACCATCACCTTCTGAGAGGTTGATTGCAATTCTGAATATACTGAGAAAAGTTAATTTATGACAGGGATGCTTCCTCATTTAGTTAATATCATCTTTGGTTTTGGCTCTTGAAATTTATTTTTTTTCAATTAATTAGCATATCTGTTGCTCGATTTGATCTTCCCTTCAGAACATGGAAATTGGAGAGTGCTTTCCTATGTTTTCTTGCATGTGTGCCAGTAATTACAGTTAAAGTTATGATTGATGTTCTGGTTTTGGCTTCCTGCCTATTGGCTCCTGAGTCAAAGGAAAAGGCCTGTTAATTACGTGGATATTATGATTGCATTATTCTAATTGAAGTTGTGGCTTTCTTGATTGCAGACCATTCATAAAAGTTCCTACCAGGATATTTTGGTACATTCTTTTGGTTGTCAAATGGATGAAGGAAAAGTTGCACTTTAAAAATCGTGGTGATTCTACATCAGCTCATTACTTAGTTCAACTAGCCTCTCGCACCAGAACTTTTGACTGCACTGCAGCTAAAAGGCATATTGGATACTCACAAGTTGTTTCCTTAGAAGTAAGTTTCTGCTGATGTTTTGTCTTTCATTGCACTTATGTTAATTCTAATTTCTTTCAGTTTCCTTTTGTACTTCAAGACTTAGTAACAGGGAACTTGCAAAATTGAAGGTCTCACATTTGGCTTACTTGTTTTCTCTTTGCTGATAATTCAGGAAGGTATTACATGAGAAGAAGGGCTTAATTGCTTTGATCCCAGAGTTCAAGGGTTTAACTGCATCAATTAAAGTTTAGGGGCTTAATAGCGATTCTGAGGTTAGTTCAGGGCTTAACTTATGGTTTTGCCTTTATTATATCCAAAAGATTGGCAACATGTTTACGATCCTATTTCCCTTGGATTAGGTTTTTCAACAGCATTTTAAGTGTGATTAATGACAATTTAACTACAGCCAAAAAATATATATACATGT